TCCCATTAAGTGTCATTTGTCATTGCTTATTGCATTGAGTGTCCCTAAATTGAGCATTTGCTTGTGCCCTGGTGTAGCTACAATAATAAGAGTGTGTGAATATTAATTCTGCTGTTCTCGCTCTCTTGGTCTAAGCGGGTGGAGAGTTTTTCTTTAGCTTGTGAAGAAATTACTGTTGGCCTCTTGTTGAGTTTGGTTTTTCTCCTGTGGTATGAGTCAGGAATATTCATTTTATGAAGTCCTTTAATTTGACTAAAATAGACTGTGAGTGATTCCCAAATTCCACTGAAGCAGTGGTTGTGTGGGCTCAGCCAAGTCTTGTGCTTGCTCAGGGCTTCCATTGCTCTCCACACTCTCCTTATGCACGTCCACAATGTATTCATGCACGTGTTTTCTTGAAATTTTGCATAAATATTTAACAGCATACTAATTACTCATATAGCTTCAAGGAAGATTGCTCTCTAAACGTTAAGTAGGTCTCTTGTTACAAGGCTGTGCCTGTGATGTAAAGAGAACTGGAATTTGCAGCACAGCTTTTTTGTACCCAAAGCTGCACAGTGCCAACATCCACTGTTTTATGTTGCAGAAGTTTGCATCTGTTTGTAGAACTTAGGTATTTAGCAAAAATAATAGTGAAGCTGAAACTGCGTGGGATACATTTAATTATGGTGGACTGACTAGTAATTGTTTCTGTACCACAGATGGAAACCTGGAATGCATTTCAAAGCTGGCTCATCTTAATTCAGTACAAGAACAGAATAATTTGTCTTTCAATTGTGAATTTACTTTCTCATCTCTGCTAGTGTTATGTGGGCAGATAGAAAAAGTTATCCAGGTGCTAATTGAAACAGCTGCAATACTATTTACAAAAAAATTCTAATTGGAACCCTGCATTGACATAAAATCAGAGCATGCTGTCACAGAAGTTCTCACAGAACAGTGGAGGTGGGAAGACACCTCTGAGATCATCCTGTCAACTGTTCTGCTGAAAGCAGGGTCACCTTGAGCTGGTTGCCCAGGACCATATCTAGTCACATTTTTAGTATCTCTGAGGCTGGAAACCCCTCAATCTCTCTGGACAGTTTGTTCCAGTATTTGATAACCCTCAGAGTGAAGAAGTTTCTTCTTATGTTTAAATGGAATTTCTTGGGTTTTATTTTGTGCCCATTGCCTCCCATCCTTTGGGAACCACTGAAAGGAGCCTGTTTCCTTCCTTCTTTGCACCTTCTCTTGAGGTGTAGATAAGATCCCCCCTAAAGCCTCTCTTCTCCAAGCTGAACAGACATAGGTTTCTGACTTGGCTTATGTGTGAGGTGCTCCATTCCCTAAGTCTTTGTGGCCCATTGTTGGACTCTCTCCAGTTCATCCATGTCTGTCCCATCCTGGGGAGCCCTGAACTGAGCCGAGCATTCCTCATGGGCCTCACCAGTGCTGGCTAGAGGGGGAGAATGACCTCCCTCAGCCTGCTGATGATGCTGTTCCCAGTGCAGCTCAGGAGGCTGCTGGACTTCCTTGCTGGAAGGGTGTTCTGCTGGCTCATGCTCAGCTCAGTGTCCACCAGGACCCTCAAATCCTTTTCTGCCACAGTGCTTTCCAGTCTTTTGGATGCCAGCATGTTTTGGGGCATGGGGATGTTCCTTTCCAGGGAAGGGCCCTGCATTTGTTTTTGAACATCAGGAGTAAGCTTGGAGAGGAATTAATAACAGGCATTAATCTGCAAACTATTATGTTACAGATTACAATGCAATTCTCTCACTGATCAGGAAAAATAGGCAATTATTGGATACTTTTTACCTAAAATACCTGTATAAAATTTTGTAATTTATCAGAATGTGTAAGTGGGTTTTATATATATATATATTTTTTTTTTTTCATGGAAGAAATTATGTTGGAAAGAATTTAAACTGCTTGGGTTATGTAGTCCCTCTGAGCCATGCATTAGGAGTTATTCCATTATTGCACTAATTGACTTCAAAACCATTGCTCAACACCAAGTCATTAAATCTATCAAGATCTTGTGTCTGTTTAGATATCTGGCTGTTTCAGATATTTTGCATTACTCTGCTGACCAGCATCCTTTAATTATTTTATTAAATTAGGCTTCTGCTAGAATGGAAGCTTACTTCCGGGCTGATTATAAAATTGATGCCTTAGAATAATTGTGCAGTAAAGCTTTTTTTTTTTTTTTTTTTTTCTTTCAGGAAATTTTAAATTAGAAATCCCTAAGCATTCTCTGTTGCAATTAAGCTCTGTCCAACTGTCACTGATGCCTCCTAGTAACTAGTTAGCTGGTTTTTATCTGTGTTACTGAAATTGGAATATTGTGGTCATTTAAGAGCTGATCCTGAGCAGTGGAGCAAAAGTTGATTTCTTTTGGTTTGTCTGGACTTTATAAAGCTTAGTAGCACTTTGCTGTAGATATCCAAAGGGCCTTGTTGTTTTCAAAGGAAGGCAGAATACAATGCCACATATCAGTGCTGCAGGCACTGGGGATGAGGCTTGCTCAGCACACTCTGGGAGGGCAACTGAGCTGCAAATTAGAGAGAATACCTGGGGATCAAATGTTTGTGCCTGCTCTTTCCTTAGCTCTTACTGTGCCAGCTTTAAAGCATTTACTTTTCAGTTGATACCCTGAACCTGCATCTTGTAGTTGTAGAATACAATAAGAAGTAAATGTTGCTGCTTTAGTCATTAAATAATTTGAGACCCAGCTAGAATGCTAGAATCAGAGGGATTTTATTTCATGTGTGCATTCTTATTGTATATTTTGACACTAGTTTACTTCTGTTCATCTGCTAATCCAAATGAAAATTATTTTTCTGGTTTTAAGAACACTTTAGCAGTCATTCTCTAAAGCAGCTGATTTTTACTTATAATATGGGCTGAACCTAGAAAGCATTGAAGGCAGAATGCTAAAGTTTAGGCAATTTCATAAAGAAAAATAGCAGCAAAAGATCTTGGCATTTTTAATGTTTTTCAACAAATTATTTGTTCTTTGCTGATCTAAGTATGATGTGAAAAAAGTCTCATTTCAGACATACACATAACACTGAATTTTCCCAGCTTTGGCAAGCCTGTGTACTATATCTGAAATCTGCTAAAGAGTTTGTGTATGCAATAGACATGGAAGCTATTGGAGTCACCAGTTTCTAAAAGAAACAAAACAAAAACAAAAAACACCAAACAAAAGGGGAAAAAAAAACCCACAACAAAACCACAAAAAAACCCACCCACCAGTATGCTTTTTTCTCCCTTATCTGTCTTATATTAAAGAGCACAGAAAAGGAGGATGGCTGTCTTGCGCAGAAATGTTTACACATGCTAATTGAATTATCAAGTTGTTTGTTTGTGTTCTGTTGGCTTTAGGTGACCCAGTTAATACAGAGTTATCCATAGGGGTGGGAGGAGATTCTTGCTACAGAGGGAGGCCTGTGACTAAATCAGGAAAGCTTAAGCTTGATTAAATAACCCATTGCCGCTCTCCTTTCCCATCACTTTCCAGCTCCTTCAATGAACCACTGTCACAGTTCTAGGTCAGTGAGACTCTGTGAGCTCCAGAGTCTGGGCATATGGACAGCCCCACAGGCTGTCTCTTCCTCTCCCTGCCTCCTTGCAGTTTCTTCCTAGTAATGGCTTTTTTTTTAATACATTTGTTTTACAAAGAATTGCTTTATTAAAGCATTGTCTGACACTGAGGATACACTGTGGAAATGACAACTTAGAACAATTTGTGGTGTGCCATAAATCAGGTAATCCTATGGGAGGAGCAGCTGGCGAGGTGTGGGGTAGAAGGTGGCTGCTGAGAAAACCTGAGCAAAATCCCTCTGGAACTGGTGAACAGCAAGCTGAGAGCTCAGCTGGGAGCTGGGTGCCTGCTGGATTAGGGCTGCCTCCTGCGTGGCTCAGGCTTCAGAGCTGACAGCATTTGATGGTGGAGGATGGTATGGAGCCTGTCAGCACGTTTGGACAACTGTGTTTTGCTCGCTGTAGGAATCAGTGATGAACATGGGTGCTGCTCAGCAGGACCTCTGATTCACATGCCTGCCTGATTAATAAATCAAAGAGGCAGAGAGAGGCTGGGTTTCTGTTTTGTCTTCTTCACCAAACCAGTATCAGATGTCCGTCCAGTGCATCTCAAATTTATTCCTTGTTGGAGGGAATAAGGAAAAGGCCAAGTCAGAGTGCAGTGCTTGTGGGAGCTGGGGCAGGGGGAGAGCTGTGAGCCAGGCACTCGTGTTTGGGCTGACTGCATGGAACAGCCAGCATCAAGAGATGAAAGAGGCAGAACAAAGCGTGAGGAGCTGCCTGGGAGGTTCCTGTGAAGGCACTGCAAACCCTTTCACACAGCTGTTGCTCTGCTTGGGCATTTATGTGCCAAGTCATTGTGGAAAAAGAGTATCTGTATGCATTCATTACTTGCCATTTTTGCTGGTGAAGATGTTGCTCCATATTCTGGCAGCTTTGCAGCCCAAGTAATTAAGGAGAAATAGGAAAACCTAAGGATATCAAAACACCACTGTGGCCAACTGTGAGTTCACCAGCGGGATAGTTCTGTTCTGTCTGAGTTTCAATGCCCTTGTCTCAGGGTGGTTTACATTTGAAAATGAAAAAAAACACACAGGCAGTTTAGCTGACTTTATTTCAGCTCTGTTTTTCCCCAGGGAAATTGAGGATAGCTATGTATGTCAAGTAATGGGCTGGGGGAACGCTCCCTTAACAGCTACTCAAATCTAAGGAAACTTTGATTCCTGGTGTGATGTTGTTTATTTTGGTTTTAGAGTTGCCTCACTCTCAGTAACAAACTCAGATTGGTAGGAAATGTGGTTTTTCCTTTCCCAAGGCATAACAGCAGTGGAATTTCCTCTACTGTCACCTTGAAGTAAGAGAGAGGATGGATGGTTGTAAAATCAATTCTTGTGTTTCAGTACCAGGTTAATAGGAATGCATTTATTACAGAGATCAATCTTGTTTAATGTTTATTTATTTACTGTGTTTTTCAGGTGCTGCTAAATCCAGTCCAGCTTCTAAACCAGGATCAACACCTTCTCGCCCATCTTCAGCAAAAAAAGCTGCACCAAGCAGCTCGGCATCCAAATCAGATAAAGATTTGGAAACTCAAGTCATACAGCTCAGTGAACAGGTAAATTTGCTTTAGGCACAAAAGTAGATGCATTCACTGTCACAGGCAGGCATGAAATCTAATATTGTCTTCTGATGAATGATGCTCTTCAGAATTACGAAGGAAAAAAAAGTGGAAATAGTTCAGCTGGAAAGAAATAAAAAAAGAGATTTATTGTAAAGAATAATGTCTGGCAGAGATGACTGATTTTTGCCAGTATTTTTAAATTATGATCTTAGGAGTGAGAGGTAAGTCTTGCTGAAGCATGGTAATTTTATTAGATGTTGAAATATATCTTTTCTTTCACTTGGATAGGAAAAATCTGAATTGTGTCTGCTCTTGTGTATTACTATCTTGAAATAAATCATTTAATGTGCCACTGTGGAGAAAACAAGCCTGTTTGTCATACCAAGGTGTTAAGAGATTTGCAGTTAAAGTGAGACTAGAGCATTGTGCTCTGCTTTCTGGTAGGCATTAAAAAGAAGGTAACACACCATTTTCATTTAAAAATGCAATCTACCTTTCTGAGAATACTTAGTTATATTATAAATAATGTTTTGTGATATTATTTTAAAAGTTTAGAATTTCTGTAATGTTAGGAATGTACGGGCTTCATTTTTGTTTATGCTCTGGAGCTTTACACCATTCTCTCATTTCTGAACTGCAGGAGTGTCTGCACTGGACAAGAATAAATACCTGCATCTGGCTTAAGACTGTGCTGTCAGAATGGTGTAAATGCCACTACTATATATGAGGCCTGATCCCTGTATTTGTCCTTGCTGAGGGAAAATTAAAAGGAAAAACTTGTATTTTAGAGTTACTGGCAGCTGCATTCAGGAAGCAGTCATTATTCTGGATCAAGTATAATTTTCCACAGTTAAAGGCATTTCAGTTTCAGACTTTCATTGACCTGAACAGCAATGATTTCAGTTTTCTGGGGTGCTGTTTGCATGTTTTTGATGAGTTGTACACTGAAAGGTGGTGGATGGATAGCCACATCCCAGACATGGCGTTCTGTGGATTCAGGGTATTGTTCTGAGCAGCAGAGAGCACAACAGGGTCCACCAGCTTTCCAAATGGGCTCTAGATTGTTGCTGTAACAGAAAAGTTTTTAAATGTTGCACAAGGAAGTGATGTAGATATTTTTCATGGAATCCTTTTTTTTTTAATCAGTGTCGAGCGGAGTTCAAATGTCAGCTTAATGCAACTTAAACTACAACATTTGTACTCAGAAGTCAGAATGTGTTTGCTTCAGGAGGAAGAGTTGGTTGGCATCTGAGCAACATAGAAACATTTGATCTTTACTGAAATAGACAGTCACTATCCCATTCACTGTTAACATATTCCTAGCACGTTTCATGTGTGAAAACCTTAAGCTTTATATACAAATAACCCTGAAGGAAAACTGATTATTTCCCCCATCACTGAAGAGAAGAAGAAATTTTGAGGATATGAAAAACTGATTCCTTAACAGCTAGTTTTTAAGAGACATCATCTAGCTAGAATGGTCAGGAAGGCTTTTTTTTTTTTCTTAATGCTGACAGCATTTGGTATCTCATTTCCCACTAATGGATACTTGTAAACCGTGGCCATATTACATGAGCCAAAAAAGCTATGCTGCAAGCAGCTCTGAGCCAGGTTTTCCTGACCCCCAGTGTGAACATGCTGCAAGAGCCAAATTTTTTACTACTCTGCAGCAGTTGTGGAGATGAGGGCAGCAGCAACCATTACTGTGTTTCTGTGTTGATTATAAGTAAGAAATGCTGAATTGTGTCTTGGATATCAGGGTCCTATGTGGCTCTTCATCCCTTTCATGGATAGCAGTTGAGGGAGATGGAAACATCTGAACTTCCATACAATTGGTAGCAGAAAAGTTTAATCAGTGGGGATGTCTGTACACTTTGTTTTACCATAGTGTAGCTTAATGAGCTATATGTAATAATTGTAAGCGACCCTAACATTTGCCAGTTAATGGCTCCCTACAATCTTAAAGTTTCTCTTAAAATCATCTTCAAACTGTGCCAGTAAATTAAACTCCAAAATTAAATTCCAAGGAGTGTCACTCTGCACTGGAACTTGATTAGCCATAGCATTGAAATTACTCTCTCCCAAAGAGTGTCTGAGTGCAGCTGAGGTGACAGCACAAACCAGGGGTTATTGCATAGAGAAGGGACTTTTACAGATGGAGAATGGTCCCAGGAACTATTAGCTGAGTGCTGATATACATGTAGTTTCTGAAAGCAGCATCATTGTGCCTTTTTGCCTACAGTTGGGCCTAATCTGCAGTCTGGCTCTGCAGCCCTTTGAGTATTCATGCTACCCGTAAGTGCCATCAGAGAAAAGTCCAGTCAGTAGGAACTGCACCCATTAACTGGGTTGCAGAGGGGTGCTTTTGGTCCAGAAATAGAGCATGGGAGCTGACGTGAGCTGTTCTTCAAGTGTTGGCCTTCTGGCACGCTTATAGAAGGAAAATGGAGGATGCAGATGTGCCAAGTGTCTGAAGAAATATGGATTCACGTGGCACAGACAGGTACCTGGAACTGAAGGGAAGCATATCTAGTTTGGTTATAGCAATGTTTACTATATACAGCAGTTAATTAAGTCTGTGCTTATGTACATAGTTTAATGATTTTGTTTCTTCAAACAGCATGAATGTGAGAGAATGAAAACAGGAGAATGTCTTCATAGTAAATAGGTCAGAAGGGGAGATAGTCTCGGCTATTAGCTGCCAGTTTTTCAGCTGAAGTTCATTGTTTTCCCAAGCTCTTGCAAGCACAGAGCAAGAGATCTGGAAGCAGTTATATTCTTATTCTGACTGGATTCAGACACTGCTCTCAAGCAATATGCTGTGGCAGTTCCAGAAGGCACGTCCTAAGTATGAGGTCTTCATCTGTAGACCAGAATATTGTAAACTCTTGTTTCATTTTGCTATTCCTACTTTTGTAAAAAAATAGTTCATTTTAAGGTGACTGGTCATTATATCCATAATGGATTCAAACTGTCAAGGAAGACTTGAGTGTCACACTTAGACAGCTGGTCAGAAATGAATTAGTGCATAAATGAGATGCCCTGAGATCCTGCTCTGGTAACAAGTCAGTTCTGCTGCTTGATGCCTTTGGGAGTGCAAGCAAAGGTCAGAAAAAGGCATCCCCAGCTCAGCAGTCATGGAAAAACAAACTGAAAGGGTTTAGTAGGCTATCAAAGCATTGTTTGAACTCTGCTGGTATTTTTACTAGTGGAGGAAATAAATTAACTTGCAGTAGAACGGGCAACACAGAAGTTTCTATTAAATCATATCAGTTCACTGAAATGTAGTCTGGTATGATTTAATTTATTTAGCATGTTTTATTTAGAAAATCATTTGTATAATTGCAGGCTTTAAAATGTGAATGTTAATTTGGCTGTAATTGGATGTGATTGTGGTCAGTGTGTTTACTGTAGACAGCTTTATCTGTGATTATTTCTGTTGGTTTTTATGCTGCTGTCCTCCAAATTTCCAAGCCACTTAGATGTTATCCTGATTGTGTATACCCCATTAGACAAAAGTTTATATGCTATGCTCCCACAAAACCTTTCTTTTTAAAATATATATGTATAAAACTATATTGCAGCATCTGTCGTGATTTATACAAAGCCTAATCACTAACAGCTACATTGCACATGAATCATTTGCAGCAGTCCTAGTGGTGAAATTGAGGCTGACAGCGTAGCTTGAAGACTCTTGTGAACAAGGTTGCAAGGAGAAAGGTACTTGGCATTTGAGAGGGTTTGTTGGTAGAAACAGCACATCAGTCAGAGCAGGTAGCCCATGGTGCACCCAGTCATGGCAGCAGAGTGCTGAAACACAGGTTTGTAAAATGTGGTAAGTGAGGCGGCAGAGCAGTAGAGGTGGAAAAGCAGTACAGCAATAGCACATTTGTAACTAGAGGACCTTTTAATTTCTTAACTAGACTATTTCCATCCTCTGCTGGTTTAATTTATTTTTAGGCAAGGAGATATTGTAGGCTTCCCAGGCAAAACAATGCAAATACTGAGCTGAAAGTTTTATTAGTTACCACTACATGACATTTCTGGCAGTCCTGTTAGGAAACATGGTTTAGGTAGCCCTGATTTCTGCACTGCTGCTTTGAGCTTCAGTTTAAAAGAGTGCTGAGAAAATTGACCTTTAAGGTTAAGATGTATCCAGGATCCAGTGGGAGTAGTGGGGAGCCCTGATTCTCTGTGGGGTAAGGTTCAATTTAGCTCTGCATGAAGAAAACTGGACTTAATTTCAATCTATCAAATCAAATATGTATTTAAGATTGTTTTGTATACAAAAGTTTAGACTGTGTTCTTTTGTCTGTAGTGCACCTCAAAACTGATGCATCATGTCTTGGTTTATATTCAGGTACATTCATTAAAACTTGCACTTGAAGGCGTGGAGAAGGAAAGGGATTTCTACTTTGGCAAATTAAGGGAGATTGAACTTCTCTGCCAAGAACACGGGGGAGAGAATAATGACCTTGTCAATCGGCTAATGGAAGTCCTTTATGCTTCAGATGAACACGTAAGTTGAAGCCTAATGGTTTTTATCTCAACAAAAAAAGCTTAATTGCATAAAATTTAATTTATGTAGTATTGGGTCATATCCTGTATTTAGAACTGCAGCTGGGATTTTTGTGACTCCTCCCCAAAAAGGAGGTTTGCATTTGAAATTGCAAACAACAGACTTTTTAGCTTGAGGGGAGGATTCAGGAGGTTTGTTGCTTTTCACTGCTTCAGTGTAGGTTTTGTATTCTGGGTTTGCTGAGCTTTATCTAAAAGGGGAGGGTCTTTTTCACAATTTTAAATTGATTTCATATGGTTCTGAGCCTTAGTTTTGTTTTTTTCATCTTCCTCCTATGTGCGTGAAGTCTTTTACTCATGTTCTTTAATGTGTTGAAAATCACAAAAATTCTGGCAGAGGTGCTGTTCGCTGTCTACAGCTGTGAACCTTCTCTGGCCCATGTGGCAGTGTTGGAATATGTATGGTGCGGGTTGCCAAATACATAATTATATCTACAAAGATAATGCTCCTTAGCATTTTTTATCCTGTTGCTATAGGCAAAATTCTTCCTTGTGCAAACCAAATAATCCTCTATTAGCAAAATTTCAGAAGTGTATTGTCTGCAAGATTAAGCAAGAATCTCATTGCATCTTAGACTTAATGTTGTAGACACTGAACAAAGCAAGAAGCTGCAAAGGGTGCTGGTTAAATTCCTCAGAGACATTCAGGGACAATGATTCAGTGGAGATTTAGCTGAACTACTCCCATTCATGTTAACTAAATCCCTGTATGGATTGTACTGACAATTGACCCTTCAGGCACCAGTGGAGGAAGGCTTTGGCTCCAGAGTGTGCAAGCATCAACTTAATCCCTTGGCAACACTGTGGTACCATAGGCTGTTCTTACATCTGCTCCCAGAAAGCTGTTGCAGCAGCAGTCAGCTTACTTAGTTTTACATCAAAACTAGTGATGAAGGAAGTACTAATTCAACATACTTTTTCTAAAAGTGTCTAATGTAGGGCCTAAATGTTTGAAAGTTAGGTGCAAGAGAACCACAAGTTTGAAGCTAACAGGTGCCACTGCTCAGATGAGAAGTGACAAGGGAAAGAGGATTTGTTCAGCAGTGCAGAGCAAGTGCTAGAGAGGAAAAGGAGGAAGAAACCATTATTTTCACAGGAATAAACAATAAGACAAATTTTCCAGGCATGTGATAACAGGGTAAAAGTGTTACATATATATAGTGGTCAGAGAAAATATCTTCTGGATTCAAGAGCAGTGATTTATTTATAAAGCAAAGCCAGAAAAATCCCTCTTCTCCCCATACCCCTACCACATCTGTCTGTCTATTGGCTTAAATAGCCGAGTGGTTCCACATCAAGGAATGCATTTCTTCCTTTTCCTCTTGCAGTTTTCCTTACTGGCAGAACACATTACAAAATGTTCTGCTTCAGTCCATTTCCCAGTGTTTTATCTGCTTCCCTCCCTTCCTTTCTCTGTTGAAATCATCATCCGTGCCTGCATGTGAACTACATATAACTGTGCTTTTATCTAAAATGTGGTTGCTGTTGGAGACTGGGTGTGTCGCTGCAGCAGGAGAACACTGCTCCTCCAGAGAGGAATGCAGAGGCCGTTCCTCACACAATTTTTTTGCTCCTTTTGGTGGGAGGCTTGATCTCCTCAGCTTAACAGATGGACTGTGACTTGCTGAGGAAAGACCCAAATGCATTAGCACTAAGCCAAAGACTGTAGCTTAGTGCTGTTTCAGATCCTGCCTGCTTTTTGGTTTTGGACTTCACTCTCTTATTGCCCTGCTTTGCCCTTCAGATCTGGGGTTTTTTCCTCTCTGCCTCTGTAATGAATTTGTCCTAAGTTAAATTCTTTATCTTGCAGTATTTTGCAGGTTAATCCCTTGGTAACAGCAGTTAGGCTTTCTTAGTCAGGCTGTGAGGCTGTTAAGTGAATTGTGTGAAGAATGATTCAAAATGCAAGTATAGAGTTTGGTCCCTCAAAGAATCATTCCCCAGGTGTTTGATTATTGTAGTATTGCATTGAAGAGATTTTGATCAGGTTCATGTCTTGGGGTGAGGAGTGGCGTAATTATTTTTCTCAGAATTTCAGTTTATAGTGTAGTTTCAGTCATGCCACCTCCTAAGCTTCAGTTTTGCTTCATTCAGTAAGAACTAATTTTTTAAAACTGAATGATATATTTTCTTTTTTTTTTTCTTTTTCTTTCTTTTTCTTTTTTTTTTCTTGATTTTGGTGAGTTTTAGCAGCGCATGTAACAATCCAGTTGGTTCCTTCTCTTTAGAGCCTTCTCTTTTCCCTGTTATGGTTCTGCTTAAACCTCATCATTGTGACTCTGCTTAAGCAAGAGGGATATCATATCGTCTACTGTCATTTAGCATTTGTCTGATCAGTCTGTAGACCTTTGTAATTTTTAATTGTGAATCGTTCATTTGTAATCCTACTTCTTCATCAAAAACATCAAAGTTGCCAGAGAATAGTCCTCAAAGGCTGCATTTGAGTGGTGGAGAGATGTGGCCCCTACTTTTCAAGCTCTCAGTGTGTAAAGCATTTGGTCATGTAGAAAAGCTCTTGCTTTCCTACACAGGCTTTTGTGGTTCAGTTCATGTAGAAGTTGGGAGAATTGCTCATGTTGGGTATCTCAGTTGCTCTGCTCAGTTTCCGAGAACAATTCCTCAAAATGCAGCTGGTTTGGTAACTTTCTGCTCTAGCAGCTTCTATATCTGCTGTTACTATTGGAAAAGGCCCCCACCCTCCCCAACACAAGGTTTTCATAGTCTAACTCTTCAGTCTAGATCTTCCACTACTTTCCTTATTAGGGGATGCTGTTCAATGAGATTCCACAGTCCCAATGTAACTGGACTCTTATGGTTCCCATTTCATGTATTTATACAAGCCGTACATACTGAAAAACATCTCCCAAGTCTCAGAACAACTTCTGAGGTAGTTAAGATAAAGATAAACCATCAAAGATAAACCTGGCAAAATAGGGGCCACCACTCCTCTTCAGAGTTGTGGAGTAGATTCCACTCCCTGTGCTTAGAGGCTTTTCCTATTGTACGGATGAGAGGAAAGCACGTACATGACCCATAAAGTCTGCACAAGTGGGCTTTCTAACAGCGCATCTCATCACACACAGGGCCTGTGGAACATGTGCATTCCAGAGCAGGTCACCTCAGCACAGAAGGAGGGTCAGGACAGATGGGGTTAAGGCAGCATCGCTCACTTTGGCCAAAAAGCTTCTCACCCTGCAGGGCAGGGTCACGTTCTCCCAGCTGTCAGCTCCTCCCTGTGAAGCTCCTGTTCTCTGCACATCCTGCATCCTTGCAGCCCATCACAGGAGCTGCAGTTTTTAGATACTGCTCACAAAACTCTTTTGACGTGATGCACCTACTGTATGTAATAAGGGCATCATTTCTCCCAAGGGGCCAAAACATGCTTAACTTCAGCTGCCCTGACTGATGTGTGACTTCTACCTGAAAATGGCACCTGAGTGATAGAAAGCTTGCTTTCAATTGAAATTGGGCTGTAGCAAATGTTAGGAACCTTATTCTGCTTTTACCCTTTAGATAAGTATTTTATTGCCAGAAGGGAATTAGTTTGTTTCATAAGCTGCTCTGGACTATTGTGGGGAAACTAAAACTATGGCCTTCCTTTTCTTTTGATTTTTGCCTCAAATTTGAAAACTTAGCAGTAGCAATTTGTTAAAGTTTGTTGTTCAAGCTGCTTGCTTCTAACAAAAGTTATGGAGCCAGGCCAGTTCTGCAGAGGTAGCCCACTGGGGATGCTGGATTTTGAATGGCAGCTCAGTGCCCTGGAAAAGTGTTTTCCTTTGGAGCTGCCTACGGCAGAGCAGTACTAATGCAGGGCAGAGCATACACAAGAAGGATCTCTTCAGTGAACCATGCTGTGGAAAGATGGAAAGCACTTGAGAGGAAAGCTGTAAATGCAGCTGTGCTTAATGGCAGTCCAGAAGGGATGCTCTAAAAGTCAGCCAGACTTTTTGAGCTCAGATAACATTGAGGTCAACTCAGGATACTAGGCATGTTGCCTGTAATTTGAAAGTTGTTCAGAACTGGTGTCACCTGTAGCAGGGATACAGCCTTTCCTTGTGTCAGGGGTTCATCTTTCAGTGGGAATGTATATTCAGAGAGAAAGCTTTGGATAATACTGAGCATAAAAACAATGCAAAGTGATTACTTAGTAATTAGTGCTTTTTACAGTAGCTCTATAAGTCAGTGAATACAGGACTCTTCCCCCCAGCCTCTCCAAGAAAATGTGTTTGCACGTCTATGGGAGTTAGCATGGGTGTATTATTTTGGGAAAGTAATATGCCTGACCTCAAAAAGGAGGCTGTGTTGAATTTTTCAAGCAGGTGGTAGTTAAAGTGTCTTGTCCATTTAGTGGTCTAAACCTTGAGAGAAGATTGTGTGAAAAGTACAGCAGGCAGGTTCAGAAAATCTTGGACAAGCTAAAAATGGGAGGACATCAGGATGCTATGGTACCACATCTAACTGTTGGCATATCACTGTCTAACTGTTCAGTGTTCACTCACCAGAACAGATAACAGATAGCAATGTTGAAAGCTGACTTTTTTTCTAGGGAATTACCAGTACTGCATATGCCTCAATTAGAAGTAAAGAAAGTACATTTCAATATAATATTATGAGATGCTGCTTTGCTCAGGTAACAGCTCATTTTTTACTTCCTTGCATGAAAATTGTTACGTTTTATGCTACAGTGAACACCACGGGGCAAGATTACATGGGGAACGCTTTCTGCTGAAGAGTGTTTTGGGATCTTTTTCTCCCTACAGGAGAGCCACACAGATGAGCATGAAGGTGAAGAGCAAGTCCATGAACAGCCCCAGCAGCAGGATGAGTACTGACTCACGCAGCATCTCTGACAATTTTCGTTTTGTGTGAGAACTTTCTTCTGGAGAATGGAACATGTGCGGCCTCAAACTTGAAATCAGTTCACTCCCAGTCTGCCATTAACATTTATGTACCATAGTGAGTGCCAGCCAACCACTGCATTCTGTACCAATACTTTGCCAAGATGCATTTGCAGGCGTCTTCTTTCAGTGTATCTTCCCAAGAGGTTGTAGGGCTACATCACCTACTGTACATCACTGCAACGTCACCACTTGGCTGCTTGAGATTTGTTCTGCTCTTTAAAAATATATATATTTATTTTTATTTCTTTTTCGTCTTAAGTATGATACACTTGTAACTTGTTCTAACATATTTATATTGGCATTTTGTGTGGCAAGGAGTTCTGTACCACTAGCTGTGTCTCTCACTTTGTGGTGCTTTTGCATTTTCTAGTACATCTGCCTTGGGGCACCAATTTGGCCAAGCAGTTGAAATAAAGGGATACAGTGGGTGTCATACTCAAGCCATAACGATGAGATTGTGTTGTGGAGGAAAACACTTGTGTTGCTCACATTTATTCTTTTTCTGCCTTCACAAATGGAAGGCAGAGCATCTGTTTCACTGGGAGATTTAAACCCCTGTGTTAGGAAGCTTGTTAGAAAGCTGCATGGTATGTTCTTTGGCTGATATCTGGAGGAACAGACATCCACTTAAGCTTTTTGAAAACCCTCCCAGTTTCCTAACTAGTCAATAGACATTTCCCAGCTTTTCTTCCTTTCTGAGGAATCCAGTCCCAGTCTCCAGCCGCAGCTCTGCCTACGCAGAGCTCAGTGCTGAGGGAGGAGAGAGATCTCCTTGACACAAGTGTGGCTGCAGGACACAGTCTGTACCATCCTCCTTGGCTTCCCGCTTCTCAGAAAAGGAGAAAGTAGACCGGCCATTTCTTTCCACTTTCCATCCCCCTTCCACTGCCCCAGCCATACAAGTCTAGAAGACAGAAATTTTGTCACTAGTGCAAAGTATGGGGAAAAACAGCAACAACACTGGCCCCAAACTGTGCCCCAAACTTCCCTGTAAGTGGATGGTGGACACTTCACAAGTTTAAGACTGCTTCTAAAGCATGTAGAAGCAGTGAGGAGTCCTCCTGGAGACAGGGCACACATTAGAGGGAGACCATCTAACTGAGGGCACAGAGCTGGTTCTGCTCTTGGCTGACCATCCTCCTTCAAGGCCAGTGTGGTGCAGAACCATGTGTGCACTGGAGATGTCTGCAGTGGGAGTGTTCCCTTCCAGTGTGGTCCCATGGCCCTGTTCTAAATGATGGAATTTTATAAGGAGAGGTATCTTGAAGTATAAAAAGCATTCCTTGTTCTTCTCCTACCACTGTGCATTGTAGTCTCTCTGGTTATTTAATTCCTGGTATTCTTGGTATCTCACTTCATTTTCTGAGTTCTGGTTTGTTGTGCTGATTTAGCAGGTATGTGGAAGCCCCATCCCAATTGGCATTCAGTGAAAAACTCCACAGCCTTTTGGACAGCTAAGTTATTTCAGGCGTTCATAGGCTTCTAAAGCGTTAGGTCCCCAGCTTATGCTTCCATAGAAAAGTTTCCAGTACATCAGCCCCCAGGCACACACACATGCACATGCAGCTTTCCATCCCTAATCAATCTTCTGCAGCTAAGTGGCTCTTAGTTAAATGTGAGAACCCTGCTGTTGTGTTGCACCACCAACAATATATAAAATGCTGTCGAGCACGAGAACAGGTATTTCCAGTTCCTTGATCCTCCCTCTGCACAGCAGAAGAGTTTCTGGACCCTGCAGGCTGAAGTTTTCCAAGCCCTGCACCCAGTATTGACCTCACATCCTACCCAGTGATGAAATCAAAGTACTGCAACCTGCAGGCCAGTGCTTTCCTCTCCCTTCTCAACTGGTTACAAATAAGGTCTGGTTTATAAAATCGTGTTTTTTCCAAAATAATTATTTCCAAGAATCACCACAAATGGGGGAATTGTCATTTTTGTTGTATTTGTGTTTATTAGAACATATGTACTTATTACAATTGTCATTGTAATAAACAGTAGTTCTTCATAATACTGTTGAAGAGCAGTTACTAATTTTTTTCCAGACTCCAGAATGTCCTTTAACCTTTATGGGATCTCTGAATGGGGCAAGGAGTTTGGGATCAGGCTATAAATTTAATTTCATCAGCACGTCTCTGCTTACTGGAGTTCATCCTTCTGCCAATACTTGAGCAGGTGCATGGAGAGCACTTCAAGGGAGAACATTTTTCTGAAGGTGCAAATGGTTGGGGTTGCTGAGCTCCCCAGACAGTTCATAGCCAGGCTGTTGTGCCTCTCTTCTTTTCTCTCTTTTGAAGCACATATGAAAAAAAAAATTAAAAAGCTGAAGTTCATTTCCTGAAAATTCCTTGCATCCTGTTTCTGATCTGAGAACCATAGCCCCCTCACTGCTTGTATCAAGGGGGGAGTGACTGATGTAGGGAGCCAGGGCAGTGAAATTCTTTGGGAGCACCAGAAATGTGGCTGTGCTGAGGGGAGAGCAGTGTTCTGAAACGGGGAAAGAGTTGTCCTTCCCCCCCACCCCCTGTGAGTAACCCATTCTTCTGTTATGGTTTTAATATGCATTTGTAATTACCTTTACTAAATAGCACACCATAAAGCTTTGGTTATATATTAAATGTAAACTGAAAGGAATGTAAACATATGTATTGTTAATTATAAATAGATAAGTAATGGCATAATAGATACAAAAAAGTCTTATTCAGATGTATCAGTCATTTTACATTATCCACAAACTGTCGCATGATAGAGTAGATTTTTGTCTGAATATGTGAATAACTTGACTTGCGTTTATCTTTTTACATATTTAATAAAAAAATATATGTTAAAATCTGTCTAGCTCTAGAGACTATTCGGAACATTCTAAAATAATAATTTTCTGGATTAAATACATATTTTTGATTCATCAGGGGCTGCATATGGGAGCAGGAAGAAAAAGGCAGCTGCTTTAAAAACCCAGAAGTTCACTTACCCTGTGTGTGTGGATAGCATCTGTTTCCCCAAGAGCTCAGCAACAGTATTCCCTTTTATAAATCAAAACAGAAAATGCATGTATGTATGTGCATGTAAATAGCACATTTTTCTTAATGGTAAATGCTTTCAGATTTTGGAGTGCTACTCCCTTGGGTATCAGTCTGAAGCAAAACTGGCAGCAGCCAGGAGGCAAAGACAGCACTACAGAAAGGTACCAAATCTCCCAGTGGGCTTCCTCGCAGTGACCAGGTATTCAGGGATGAATCTTCAATGGAATACCTAAAAGTTGCCTAGATTTGAGATTAAAGCATGAGGTTTTGTTGGGAGAGAAGGGGGAAAATTTATTGTATTCTCACAGCTCTGGTTTTTTGTAGCTGCAGTAGCTGCTGCTCAAGCACAGGAGTTCTGAGCCTTGGATCAGGACCTTTTCCTCTGTGTTGAAGTGACCCTGTTTTGAGTCACCAGCCTGCACCCCTGCTCCGGGTGTCCCTGGGCCTCTGACAAAGGGGGGAGGACGAAGCAGAGACCAGAGGAGCCCATTTCCAACCCAGGTGTTCAAACCTGGGAGAGCAGCTCTTGTTTAGTTGCTTTTCATAACACCAGGAGGAAGGCACGTCCTTGGGTTAGTGCAAATGCTCTAAAGCATAAAAAAATATATATTTTCCAATTCAGATAGTTGAAAACTTTCTGCCATAATGTGACCAAAAAAATGTATTGTTAGACTGTCAGGTCATCTACATACCTCGCTTTGCAAAATAAATCTGTGACCATACGGCCCTATGAACAAAAGCATTTTTCTTCCTATTCATTGAACCAGTTGTCATCTACAACAGCTAATAATTCAATATACACAGTGTGCAATACATGATTCCTTTTTATACTTGTCTTTATACAGATTGTAGTGACATATTGTTTTAAAGAGGAAAAAGAAAGTTATTTGCCACATTTTCATACAGAGGGTGAAAAAACTGGCCAGAGATTAATGTCCTCTGAAAGTCATACTCAATTTCTCTTTAGAAAGGTACAAGTGCAGGCAGGTTGTGGTAGTTCAAGTTTTATAATTTCATTTAATGAATATTTCAAAATACTCCATTCCAGTGCATCAAATTGCATTGCTTCTGTGACCTTTATTTCCAGCTGTTTCCTAAATAAGTGCAAAGCAGATGAAAAAAGGAAACCTGTCCACAGAGTTTCTCCTGTATAACCACATTCAATTTGGAGTTATTTTTGTTTATTGTATCCCAATTCTTTTCTAACCAGAGTCTCCTCAACGCTTGTGATGGAAAGGTGAAATAGAAACTGCCTTTAAAAAGCAGGTGAGACTTTTGTGGCAGTGTATCAGATATGGATGTAGCATTTCACTTCATCAAATGTTGAGACTGCTGGGTGCATGCAGCAACATCAAACTCGTCATTCCCCTTTAAATACAGTCAGAATGACCTTTTTTGACATCAAATAATGAGACTTCAGACTTACCCCAGGGGAGTCCTTGGGCAGTTAGGGAGCACCTCTGTGGACACCCCATGTTCTCTGGGCACCACACAGAGTAAAGGCATGGCTACCACACCAGAGGGAAGAAGCCTGGGAGATGCCTCCTGTGCTGGACCACAGTGGTGCCAAAGGACATCCTCCCTTCCCTGCCCGGCTCTTGGCAAAACCTCTGGCTCAGCACAACAGCATGCCCTGTCCTCTCTGCCTGACTCACACCTGGAGCTGCTTGAACTGTGACTCATCTGATGTTTGTTTGGGGGGTGGGTCGCTCCATGTGCTTGTTTGGTAGATGGAACATGGATTCTTTCAAACCTGAAGGAACTTTCCAACATTCTGCTTTGTGAACAGGGGAGTTGATGTGCAGGCTTGTCCCCTGGTGCCTGTGGAAATCAGCCCTGCTGGTGCTGTGGTAGGGTAGGGCAACTGCTGTAACAGGCGGTACCAGCTTAAGCTGAAAGTGCTCAAACAATTTGCCAGTGCTCAGCTGAAAATATTAATGGGAGCTACTGATGTAAGGGTAAGTTAACTGGGGGGCAAAAATTATCAGGCTAGTGATAAACCCACAGAAATGGTCTAAGAACTGAAAAAGATGAACATCAGACTCAGCAGCTCAAAAACTGCACTTCCACCTGGCTTCTGGCAAGTGAGATGGTTAAATATTAATAAACATGCCAGGCTGTCAATCACAGCCCTCTGTGCTTACCTTGGGGAAGTGGACAGATTGTTTAATTAGTGCTTCAAGGCCACAAAAGCCCTCTGGCTAGGGCAGCGTATGAAAAGACATGAAACTCAAATTCTTACTCCCTCCTCCAAGGCACACAGAAAACCCACGTGTATTATAGATGAAAGGAGCCGTTTACGTCTGCATGCATACATGTAATGTTTAAAAAAAAAATTCTTGTTTCTTTTTCCTATGACATTTTCTAAAACCACAAGAATTTGCTTCAAGCACACAGGCAAATAATGACTTGTTTAACATTTTGTACTGGTAGATGATGTTGGACTGAAACTAGTTTTGAAGAGAAATATGCAAATCTTCCAAGGTTTACTGGCCAAATTTATTTTCAGCTGTTTACCTTTGTAGGCGATATTGTTTGTTGCTACTGAAGTATAAACAATGTGCTTGTTACTGCCTAGAAAATAAATAGAAGGGCCAGCTGCTTCTGTATTAAGCCTACATTTCTGACAGGTCAGCTGAGACTCAATGCTGAGAGTGGGGAAAAAAACTGTACATTTCAAAAACACTTTACTGTACCCATAGCTTTCTGAGCTCATTCTCTTGTCTTCACACATTCAAATGAGGTGAGGAAAAGACTAAATGTGCACAAGCCTTTTAGGAGGTTGTGTGGAAGAAATGAGTTGTGAGAAAATAAATGTGGGAAATGAAGCTGGCACAGATGTGTGAGTGGGAAGGATGTACAGGGAGGGTTTGCATTGCTGAGGTCCCACTGGTGACTGGGCTGGGCAAAACCAGTGCTGGTTATAAACCACCAAAGATCTTGTGTAACCCAGCATGGATTTATCCAGGACTTTGGACACAGTGGTAAGGAGGAGGAAGACAAAAGAGAGGTGAGGAACATGGCTTGGTAAAAAGAATAAATATCAACAGAACAACTTGGTATAGTTCTCTGCTGGACAGGCATCTTCCTCTGAGATGAGGCATCTGGCTGCATAGCTCATTGTTGCAGTGGTTCAGATATCTGTACTATTCTATTCTTTGGTTATTTTAATCAGATTCATTCCAACTATTTATCACATCAGAAGAGCTGCAAATCTCCATGTCAAGTGTTACAGTCTGATCATAGTGCAGGTGTTCACTCTTGGACACGTTTCTTCAGGGAAAAGATGTAAATGTTCAAGTGCTCACTCAGCTGCTTACCCTAAAGAGAAATCACAGAGATTAGCAACCTGTTTTGTATGTGCTTCACAGTTCACTGCCTTTCCTCTCCCAGTGAGAGAGGGAGGACCCAACCACAGTCCTCACATACTTGGGGATCCCTGAGTACACAGGGACCTGTAAGTATTCAAACAAGAGAGCTGTTTTCCTTATATTCCTCTTGCAACACACTCCTGTGAAGTTAAAAGGCTACAGACCAGATTCACAGGTGACATAAGCTGTGATGGAGCTGGGCCCCTCAGTCAATTGTGAATTTTGGCCAGGTGTTTCTATTCTGACCCCCACCAACAGGCCCATGTTGATGCTTGGGTAGACTCTACTATGCCACCAATGTCTGCTGACAAAAGGCTGCTTTCAAAGAAAAATCCTTACATCCCATTGCTGTGGCTTAAATAAAAGAATGCTGACCAGATCCCTCTGAAATGAGACCGTTGCCATGCAAGGTGTTTTATCTAAAAGCTAAAGCCTTTAAAACAGTTGCTAAAGGATCATTTGACAATTTAGAAAAGTGGGCATCAACAAAGTAAAACTCAATTAAAGCAGTAGTTCAGATGACAATGACAAGACTGAGATGTAGCAGACACAAAAATGTGCTGGTAAGATTGAATGAACTGGAAAACTATTCATGTCACCAGCTTGAGAGATGCTAGCAGAGGGCCAAGAAAAAAATTGGGACAGCTATTTTGCCTGCAGATTCAAAGCAAAGTTGACCTTATTTTATTATTTCTATTTATGTCACTTTGCATTTTACCTTTGTATTTTTTCAGTCAAGTGACCTTAGGAAGAAGAAAGGCAAAAAAAGAGAGGTGGATGCATTCATGCCTCATGGGTCAACCGCTACGTAAAACCAATCTATAAATATTCGGATTCTGATGGGTTTAAAGCTGAAACCAGTTGGCTACATTGGAATAATTCAAGTCACTGAAGTTGCTGCACATGCAAAAAGGTATTACCTGCAATAAATTGATCTGGGTTTTTTTTTACTTTTTTAAATACAACAACACACAGGACTAAAAAAAAAGCCCCAAAACATAAACATTCAGACTCCCAGACAATGCCCCAACAATAAACTGTTTCCAGACCCCTCTGCTCACCACGCAGATGCCATAGTGCACATGGGCAGCCGTGACCAGGGTGGTGAACACGCCGAGAACCGCTTCTTCCATGCGGCCCAGCAGCCCCGAGATGGCCGCGTACACCACCAGCGCCAGCGGGAACAGGAACCAGTGGAACAGCTCCGGCCGCGTGCTGCTCATCTGGCAGATGATCACCTTGCACTGTCGGAGCAAAAGGGGCCAGGTGAGAAGTGCTGGGCCAGCCCTGAGAGTCTAAGGAAAAGTATTTCCATTTTTCCCATGGATTGGTTTGGGTGAGGGGGAAAGAAGGCTGCAGTTCAGCACGGGGCTGGTTTCTGGTGAGAAGGCACGCACCTTTGTGCCTCACTGGGTCCTAGAGGACATTATTACAGT